GCAGCCATAACCTGGTGGTGCATAAGGCAATGAAACTAAGAGTGCTTCAGCATGCACTTTTATCCGTGACAGTGTTGTTTATTGTGGCAGGTACACCCGCCCTGAAAAAAGCCTGGTAAAACTCCCAGTGGTGTGATCAGCAGGCACAAAGGTGAGGAATTTGGGTCCTGAACTAATATGGAGGCTACATGATCATATCTGACCACAGTCAGATTTGACTAGGGTATACATGGAACCCTGCAGGGCAGGCATTTTAAGTCAGTTCTTCTCGGAGCAGCAGGCCTGCAGTCGGGGACTTCCCCTTGAGTTGTGATGCTGACCAAGGGAACTCCTTGAGGTTGAGAGCCTTCCCTTTATTAGGCAAATGATTGTTCATTTTGGATCATAGGCCATAGACATTAAGAATCAACAGTGTAGTGATGAATCCATGTAACATCCTGAATCAGTAGTTGATGCTGGAGCTTTAATTGAGATTGTACAATAAATTTCATTTAGCCTCAATTTCATTTAGCCTCAATTCTGTGACATTTCTGTGTCTGTGCTGCCCCTGAGTTGTCAGGGAACTGGTAGGGGGTAAAATGATAACATTTCACAGGGTCAGAAGAAGAATTATGCCAAAGGTGTCCTTAAATTGGCACTGGAGCGGTGTTTTCAAAATAAATCCATTTGCATAAGAAGAAATAACAACATAAATTTATGAACTCATTATGTGAATAACTTCTGTCTTTTCAATGCCTTTGTATATGCTTGTATGGTGCTTTAGGAAGTGGTCTAATGTGTAATCCAATGTTGTAATCTCTTGGATGGCAAAAGTGGTGGACGTTTTCTTGTATGTGCATAGTAAGGTTTTTGGGTTGTTGTTCGGTGTGTGTTTTTGTTGGGTTTTTTGTCCCCCCCTCAATAGGCATGAGCATTCAGATGTTGAGCTGTCTGCAGTTGAGCTACCTGGTAGAGAGAACCTTGATATGTAACAGAACCCAAGGTGGCTCCGTGTCCTCTTTTCCTCCGGAAGATCTCAGTGCTTTCAGCTTTTGTCTCTGATGGAACACTGTGTTTTGTAACTTAGTTTCTGAGTTTCCCATCTTGGTTTTTCACATGGGTTTATCTTCAAATAATTTTTTGTTTTCTCCATTGTTCTCTCTTAGACCCAAACTGGATTTGGGGTTGTAAAAGTGAAGAGGTAAGCGTGTCTTTGATGATTAGGTTTATTTCTTCTTGGGGGGGGGGGGGGGGTGGGGGTGGGGGGGTGGTGTGTAGGGTGAAATATTTATAATTAATAATCAGTTATTAAATATGGAAAGATAACTTTCAGCCTATATAAGCCCAAGGCAGTGTATAAAACTTTTTACAATTTCAGTGATGCTGTCAGTTTAGTAGAAAATACCCTACTATCTTGTTGCAGGCTATGTTGGTGCCCTGTGTTGTGTCAGCAGGCATGCTACATTTGCATGGAAATGTGAAGAGCACTGCAGAGATTTCAGGTAGAAAAAGCTCTGTTTTTCTCTAGAGCTCCCGAGCAGGGATCTTGAGCTCTAGACAAAATTAGTAGAAATTTCAGCACTAATTTGAGCAGTGCATGTGCTTCTCTCCTAAATCCTCAGATATGCAGCCTGTTTGCATTGTTTTACTTCACACTTTCCCATCAGATGGCAATTCTAGTTATATTAGGCCAACATGCATGTTATGAGCAAATTATGTGTTTATAGTGCAAACTGTTTTGCAACATACTCAAAACAGTCTGACATCTCAGAGAACCCAAGTGTGGCAGTTGGAGAAAGCTCAGTGGCTGCTTGGCCAGAAAATAATTTTGCTATTTGTCAGCATTTCTATTAAATGAAATAAGCTGTTTTTAAACAGCTTGTTGCCAACATGACCTCAAAATTAGAACATGTAGGAAAATGGGTTTGGTTTTCAGTGAAAAGGAAATACTTTGGGGCAAAATACCACTTCAGCTCTTAATAGGAAATGTAGTTGAGGAACTTGCATTCTCATCGTTCTCTGCGGATGGAGATTCCTAGTCAGAATAAACCTTCAATAAGGTGCCAGTCTCATGGGGAAAAAGCTTCCTGGGAGAAGACCAAGGAAATGCTCATGTAAGCAAACATTGTAAGGCAATTAGATTATGATTTCACAAGTGGTGTAGTGGCTGAGTGCGGTTCTCAGTTCCTTGTTTTGTTATTGAAGCTTTTGAGATTCAGAGTTACCTTGAAAACTTTTCCACAGGTCGTGTTTACACATCTGTAGGTTTGAAATTTTTGCAAAGTACTTTTTAATTGGTCATACTCGGAATACCAGCAGATGGACCTGCTTGAGGAGTGCATGAAAACGATCAGAGGGCTGGGGTACCTCTCCTATGGAGACAGGCTGGGAGAGCTGGGCTTCTTCAGCCTGAAGAAGAGAAAGCTCTGGGGAGACCTTAGAGCACTTTCCAGTGCCTAAAGGAGCTGACGAGAAAGCTGTGAGGGACTTTTGACAAGGACAGGTAGGGTCAAGACAAGGAGGGGTGCTTTAAACTGACAGAGGGGGGGTTTAAGATAAGATACTAGGAAGAAATTCTTCCCTGTGAGGGTGGTGAGGCGCTGGAACAGGCTGCCCAAGGAAGTTGTGAATGCTCTATCCCTGACAGCGTTCAAGGCCAAGTTGGATGGGCCTTGGAGCAACCTGGTCTAGTGGAAGTTGTCCCTGCCCATGGCAGGTTGTTGGAACTGAATAAGCTTTAAGATCATTTCCAGCCCAAAACATTCTATGATTCTGTGAGCCTTACTGCGTCTGTTTATGTCAGTGTAAGAGTCTCCAGCCGTTTTTGGCAGAACATGTGTATCTGTGTATCTCTTGAGTGTCTGTTTCTCAATCGCCAGAGTGCAAGGTCAGGCAGCTGAGATTTAAGCTATGTGCTGACCAGACTCCTGAGCTTTGCAACAAAGCAGCTGGACCAGTGTTGTGGCACTACCTGTCTTCAGCAGGGAGAAGACTGGTGTTTGTCTTCATGAACTGAGGTGCCATGTGGAGATTTGCTGCAGTACATGTCACCTGCCCAAGGTGATGAATGTCCCCCTTGAAATTCTGGTTCCTTTAGACTTGAGTTTGCACCAACTCCTCTGTCTGCAATTTGTAAAGCAAAAATACATAACTAATACTGCTTTAATGCCTCTATAAGCCTTAATGGAGGATAAAAGCCTGGCACCTCCTCTTAAAACTCTGCACATTTAGAGTTTTGTAAAAGGTTTTATAGCTTGTAAAGTAAAGAAACTGTGTTTGTAGAATTTAACTCCAGCTGGTAACTAAGCCCCCCAGAGCTGCTTGCTGATTCCCCACCAGTGGGCTGCGGAAGAGAATCAGAAGAGTAAAAGCAAGAAACCTTGTGGGTTGAGATAAAAACAGTTTAATCAGCAAAGCAGAAGCCACACACACAAGCAAAGCAAAACAAGGAATTCTTTCACTGCTTCCCATTGCAGGCAGGTGTTCAGCCATCTCCAGGAAAGCAGGGCTCCATCTCATGTAGTGGTTACTTGGGAAGACAAGTGACATAACTGAATGCCCCCCCCTTCTTCACCCAGCTTTATATGCTGAGCATGACACTATATGGTGTGGGATATCCCTTGGATCAGTTGGGGTCAGCTTTCCTGGATGTATCACCTCCAAGCCTCTTGTGCATCCCCAGCCTTGTTGTTGGCGGGGTGGTGTGAGAAGCTAAAAAGTCCTTGACTTAGTCCAAGCATTCCTCAGCAAAAACTAAAACATCAGTGTATTATCAATATTATTCTCATCCTAAACCCAAAACACAGCACTATACCAGCTGCTAGGAAGAAAATTAACTGTTATCCCAGAGAAAACCAGGACAGGAGCTGCTTCAGCTTGTTTAGTGGTAAGAAGTGTGCATGTTATTCTGCACACATGTTCTTATCTCTAAATCCTACCAAGGAAGTTCAAGAAAATATTTACTAGTTATGTCAGGCCTTTTGCAGCTACAGAGGAATGTAGCTAACATTGCTCTATAACTAGATAATTGCAATTGAGAATTCCCAAGCAACTTCCTATCCCTGTTTCTTACACTGTTTGTTAAGGCTTGTGGCTATTCTAGGTACATGCCCTCTTCCAGGGGCAGTTGTTTAGCCTTTGCCATACATCTCAACCCTTACTGCTTTCAAATGCTCATCAAGTAGCTTTGAGTACAGGTGTTTGCTGCAGAAGTGGAGTTTGGTCTGGTGTTTTGCTAATGCAGAAATACTTCAGGAATTATCCCTTATGCGGAAAGATTGCTCTGCTGTGATCATTGTTTAGATGGCAGCAATGTATACATTGGCTTGTATATATAGAAACTGATACATAAAAGAATAGTGTATAAAAAGCATCTAATTCTAGGCTTTGGAAATGTAATTACAGAACTGTCTTACCCATTTGAAGAGGTCAGATTATGTAATTGGAAGTCAATTCAGTGCATTTCTCATTTAAATATAAGGACTTTTACCAGTAGACTAAGCAAGGGCTGGACTGTGCCCCTCAGTAAAAACAGGAACCTATCACTCGTACAGCCTAAACACATAATCTTAGGAGCAGTTTTCAGGGCTATGTATCGTTGCCTTGCATGGGTGCCTTGGAAGCTTGGGCTACTGGTGTCCTTCTTGGTTGCTCTAGGTAGGTGTTTAAATTTGGGGAGGCAGGATTTCATGTGCATCACTTTTCAGAGCTTCTGTCAGCTATTTTAGGTAGCCTTATGCTCAGAGTAATAGTTATTCCTGGATCTGATACTTCAGTTGCTTTGGGAAAGTATTAAACAAGTAATGTGGATTTGTGTTTTCAAGGATAGATATTCATGTTGAAGTGAATATCTGTCTTTCTCTTAATCCATGTGCAAAATATTTTCCTTTCACAGGTACCTCTGTTCATATTTGCAGAAGCTCAGATTTTTCACAGGAACATTTGTCATGGTAGTGCTTGACCGAGAGTGGCTAAATGCCAGTTTTGGTGCCTATTGACAGTATTTTTTGGTTTTCTTCTAGGACCTGAAAATCTGAGAAATGAACAAATTACGGCAGAGCTTTAGGAGAAAGAAAGACGTCTATGTCCCAGAGGCCAGTAGGCCTCATCAGTGGCAGACTGATGAGGAAGGTGTTCGTACTGGCAAGTGTAGCTTTCCTGTTAAGGTAAGAGTTTCTGCCTTTCTTTTGGATATCCATGAGGTACTCTAGCCATGAATTATTATTTGGGGGGGGTGGTGTTGGCAAGCATCAAACCAGCAACATGCTTCATTACACACTGACCTATTTTACAGTCGGCTCTCATTGCAGAGGATGTGGCTTTTCTTTTTTAAAGCCAGATGACTCATGTAACAAATGCCTTGGAAAATCACTGTCTGAAATATCCTACATTATAATCCAGTTCAAATAAATTGTGTACCTAGGCAGAGGAGTAATGTAATATTAGGCTTAATTTTTTTCTGGAAGAGGAGAAATGATAGACCTCCTGGATTGCATGGAGAGGTACTCGGTTCTCTCTCTTAAAAGTGGAGTTATGGTTACAGTTTGACTTGTAAGGTAAAGCAGTGGGTTGTGCTTGGAAAGGAATCCTCCTTTTTGATAAGTGAAAACTTTTTAACCAAGTAACAGCTGGGTTTCCTTCCAATGCTTGAGGTTATAAGCACTTGTTAAATTTTGAGTGTTTTCTATGATATGGTTGTGGGTGTGTGACTATTAATGCATGTGAAACTGAAATGATTTTTGAATTCTGAGAACTCATTCCAGATTATCAGAGTATTATAAGTAGGTGTTTTTTGTTTCACCAATCTCCTTCCTCTTTATTTAATATTTTAGAACAATATTTAACAGTAATACTTAAGAAATACAATGAAAAAATAAATATTAAATTTAAGGTGTTTTGTTGCATATGGTCCCCTTATAATCAGAAGCTTTCTTCCTTAAGGCACACTAATATTAACTCTACAATAGACTGTAAACATATAACACTTATGGAAAGCTAGTGGATTAAATATCTGTGCACAAGGAAATCAGTCCTTAGCCTGCCACCTAAGGACCTTTTAATAGTTTTTACCTGTATTATACTTAAAGTAATTCTGTCTGATAATTAAACAGGTGATGTTGGTAGGTGAAGCTCTTGAAACTGTTACATAGGTTTGTAAAGCTGTGGGTATGTGCAAATGTACAATAAATTTGAGATAACTTTCACACTAGGTTCATGCCCAGCTTCACCCTGCCATAACTGCTTATGTATGCTTTACATATACTAAAGTGTATATAACATTTCTCATTTGTTATGGTTATTTGCTTATTTGTCTTGCATTAGTTTTCTGCTAGAAGGAAGGAACTATAATCCAGTACTAAACAGAAACGGTGTTTTGCCAGAGCTTTGAAAGTGAGTACTGCTCTGTGGAAGCTCAAACTTAGGTTAAGGTTTAACACTGTCTAGGAGCGAACAAAGTTGTTAGCTTAAGGATTGGTGGTTTGTTGGTTTTTGGTGTTTTTTGGTTTTTTTTGTTTTTTTTTTTTAGGAAGTTGGTCATTAGATTGAAGAACAAAATGCTCAGTTTTGAGACATTCAGTTTCAGTCAAAGTTTTTCAGTCCTTTACTGAACACAAAGGGTGTGAACCACTTCTTTCTGTTCAAAGACTTTTCTTTCACTCTGACAGGACTTGAACTTACAATGACAAATACTTCCTGTATTTAAATGAAGCGTTCATTCTGGGCACATGTACCCAAAGTCAAAAAAGGTTTTGGGCTATTCTGTGCTGAGGAGGCATAGAAACGGATGAGTCTTTGCATCCTGTCATCATAATGGGACTTACTTACCCTTATTTGCTGGCTTTATATTGGAATTTGCTGAATTAATTTAATTTGTTCTTTGGAAAAAATAATCTGAAGTAAACACATGTTGACATACGGTTTTTGAGTTGGTCAGAGTGGTAGACTATTATTGTTTAAAGAATTTGCAATTAGGTGAAAACTTAAAATCAGAACAATTTGACATTAAGAGGTTTTAGCTTATTTGATTACAATTTGTCTTCCAAAATCCTGTGTCTTGAGAAAGAGCAGTAGTGGAAATTTTTATTAGGCTTGGGATGCAAAGTGGGTGTTAACTGGTGTTTAATAGATACAGACAGGAAGTATGCCATTGTGAGTGAACCAGATAAACCAGATGTAGAGTCATTGGTTTAATGGGTGGTACTATATTTTGCTTGCAAAAAGAATAGAACTTTGTGCTATTGAAGGAGAGTATCCTGTCACACTGTTCTTGGGTGTTTGGAAATTCATACATACCAGGGAAAGTATGCTGTCTCCTCTGTCCTTAAATATCTGATGGGAGGACTTTTTTTCCTGGTGCTCCTCAATGGAGCAGAATGATCTGAGATATCTGGGGGAAAGTGGTTAATAGGAATGCATTCAAATCTGATACATGGTGAAAATATCCTCATCTTCTTAAAGTACCTAAATGGAAATTCCAGTGGTCCATTCCATGTAGTATAGCTACTTAACCACAGTTTAATGTGTTTCTGGGAGGGTTGGTCTGTCCTTATACTTTTATAAGTCTGCCTTGCCCACCGTCTAAAAATCATTAGCTGTAGTGTTTTGGAGGCCAGAACATAGCTGAGTGGCAAGACTGAAGTATGACTTTTGCAGGGATGAGGAATATTTTACCTGTATAGCTGGTGAAGACCTGATAATTGTTAACAAATGTCTCTACAGCTGTCTTTAATGTTTTCTGTATGAAAGTAAAATACATTAAATTAATATAGCAGCAGCCATGTTGAGAGCTTTGTTTCTTCTAATGCTTGCTATTTCATTTAGGTTAAAACTAATCTTTTTTTTGGCAAGAGCAGGCTAGTGCAAATGCAGAGTAAGGAATATTTGTTCTCAGTTTCTCTTCTAAAACAGAATGATCATGAAAGTTTTGGAGAAAGGTGTTTCACTCTCTTAAAGTAGTGTTAAGTTAGTCTGGTTTTTAACTTCTTGCCTTGGGCATTTATATTTTTCCCAGAGTTGGAGTGTTTGTAGAGTAGCTAGCACAGATTTATTCTTTTTAGATATTACAGGACATGTGGAAGCACTTTGAAAGTTGTGTTGCAAATAGGATTTCATTCTGCCTTCAGGCTTCATTCTGTTAGTGTTGGATAGCGACTCCAGTAGCTGCTCTTTCATTGTGCTTTGAGGATGCTGTACTACAAACAGATTTAAAGTTTCTGAAAGGTTTTCTACATTGGCATGGTTCTTGAAGCTCTTCCTGTGCTACATCCACAGCTGATCCTTATTGTTAATTAAAGTCTGTAAGTGTCCTGTTGGGTTTTGAGCAAATCTGATGCCTCTATGAATTGCCTTTATTCCTGTAGAGAAGATGCTCTGTGGAAAGTATTGGCAAAATTCCTATTACATTGTTGCTTTAAAATTCAGGGAAGTGGATTTGATGCACAGTTGGTTCTCTCCAGTGCTGTGCTCATAAATTTGGAGGTGACGATAGTCCTGCGTGCATATTGTTACTTTTGGGCAATAGTACTCTTTTTTTTTTCTGTTTAAGTCTTGTGTGTTTTCCACTAGTTGGAGTGGTTGTGCTGTATATAACCAACTACTGATCCTATTTTCTCAGTCGTCATAGTGTGTGTAGGATGTATTTACAGATACGCTGTGCTGGAAATCTAACCACACTTAAGCTGTTAATCTGACACATTCGAAATAAGGCCTTGAAATGGCTCTGGCTTGCCTACAGTGCTCTTCTGCATAAACTGCTTTAAATCCACTAAAGTTACATTGAGAGAAGAACCAGGATGCTGGAGCATACGACTGAATGGTGGGTTTTTTGCACTCCACTGCATTAGCAGAGAGCCAGGTCCCTGTCTGTCAGCAAAGGTATCAAAAGGATGTTAAACTTGTGTTCAGACAAGTGTCAGTTGCAGGCTTTTGCTGTTCCATTGGGAACAAAGTGGTATTGCTTTCTTAACTTTTACGGCATGGAGGCATTGCAGCTTTTATAAATGCACGCAGAGTTGCCCTGTTGTTAAATGTGACACTGTTACAGCTGCTGGAAAAGCTGTGCAGAAGTGTATTTTCATGTGTGAATTCTCTTCCATTTTCTTAACAAACTAAACTGCTGTGTTTCAGTAGTGAATCTTCGCTCTGAGAGGAAAACTCTGCAAGATACATGTAATGTACAAGGGACTTACATGGAGACATTGTGTTTAAAACTATTCAGAAGGAGGTTATACTAACAGATATTACAGCCGTACTTATCAGTGCAATAATTTATTTCTATGTAGTCTTTATACATCACAATTGCAAAAACTGGAGTTCATTGATGTACACATTTTCAAACTTGTTTTCTTGCTCCAGACACTACCTCACTGAGAACATGTGGCTGTTCTGTGTTTTAATGACTAAAATATTTGACACTAGGGCTTCTTTTGTCTGAAATGCTTTTTCAGATGTCCCCCTGGATAAGTAGGTTTTACTCATACAAATGCACTTTAGAGTAACTGGCCTGTGAAATTTGTGTAAGAAAAATAAGGTCATTTCCCACTACTTAACTAAACAAACCAAACATTTGTAAGTTGTAACCAACCAGTTGTGATAAACAGAATATTAACAGCTGATTGCTGCCTGTAGTTCTAAAAGATGCCACAGTTGTATAGATCTTGAATCAATTTAATTATTTTTTTTTCTGTCACTTTCATGGTTTTGATGGTCGGTCTCTTTTGACGCTAATGCCTGTAGCCTGAAAGCTTACTTGCAATTTTTATTGCATTTATTCCAATTGGAAGACTAAGATATCAGTGAGAAAAATCCTTGTGGAAAAGTAACAAACCACATTTATGTTTTTGAATCTGAAGTCCAGGATTTGCTGCTGAGTGTCTGCTATCATGTCAGTTAGCCTTTCCACTGAATTTTGATTTCTGTGTTAGTGGTGGCCAATAAAAATTGCATGGCTACAGTTGTACGTTCGCACCCAAAAGAATTGACTTTTCAGAGTAAATACTCTTTAACCATTTCCTACCCAGTCCTTGCTTTGGTGGGGATGTTTGGAGGACACTCTATTGCCCTGTATTAAAGCAGAGATAGAAGGAAAGAGAACAACGTGTGCCGAGCCCTGTAGAGTACCCTCACTGGGCCTTGCAAATGTCAGTTCTCATCTCTGGGGTCCCTG